ACATATGGGTTGGGATGCACGCAGAACATCCGCAAGAGTCTCTGGTAGGACTTCATGAATGGGAAATCAGGCATTGCTTCCTTCTTTCCGTCGCGGTTAGACCGCTGTCCGGATAAGGGCTCGTTAGGGGCAGTATTCTCGTTCCCGTGAACACTGCCCGAGCCACCTGCCTCGGCAACAGGATTTTGTGTCTCGGATGCTCCCTTTTCGCTTACTCCATCGCGGAGGTCGGTGTAGCTCTTCTTCCTTTCAAGGATCCGCTGCTTGAGGCCACCTTTGCCGGCGGACTTGCGCTTCTCCTTGCCCAGGGCCTCACGGTTGCGGCGCTGAATGGCTTCTCGGCGATCAATACAATCCTGGCCTAGACCTTCGAACCACGCGTCCGTTTCCGAACCGCGAGAGAATACCAGGTTACCAAGATCGGAGAGAATAAGACTGGTAAGCGTCTGGCGGAGTTCGCCGAGGAAGCGAGCCTTCTCCTCTGACTGGCGCTGCTGGAAGACAGTTTCGCTGGAAGATGACACTGAGGCGCCAGACCGACCTATCGAGTGCTGGGTGTTGGACGGGAGAGTGTGATGATTGGGAGGGTTGAAGGAGCCAGAGAAGTTGGTTATGCTCGTGGTTGGCGACTGAGCCCTGGACGTAACGGTACTCGGGGATGTAGGCCGGCGGTGGAAGGGTGACCAGAACGTCTCTCGAGAATCGATCTGATGCACCGGGGATGATGCACCGAAGTAGTCCGAGCCGTCAATCTCGGAAATTGCCGTGCTAGCTCGTGAATAGCTGAAGCGGCTAGAAGAATCGAAGGACAACTGACTCAAATTATGGCCAGACAAAGCTCGCAGATTGGTGTTGGATGACCGGCCCCGCATTCCCGGGGTGAATCTCCTTTCAGGGTCGCTAATCACACTGATGGAGTCATCCCACGAGACCGACTGGGTGTCGAAGTCTCGGTCACGGCGGCTGACCTGCTTGCTCTCGAGGTTTCGCCTATCCCGCGTGAAAAGTTCACTGGACCATAGAACCGGTCCGTCGACAATGCTATCACCGAGCAGTTTGTTGATACAACTATCAACCTCACAGCAGAAGCGATGGATTCTCTCCTCCCCGCAACAGAAGTTTTCAACCTCATACTGCTGCAGCCACCTGGCGGTTTTCTCTGCCTGCTCGTCACGGAGCTTGTTAGGTCCACCTTGCTCTTCGGGCGCCGCGAGGATGTCCAAGACCTGGGATTCGGTCTTGAAGAGGTAGCTGGAGGCTGGGCCACGTTGCATCCTGCTTTTGACTCGCTGGAACGAATTCCAACGGTGAGGCATGCCCATGGTTTTGAGGGCGACTGCAACATTTCGTGATTCGTCATAAGGTGCGGAGTTGCGTACGTCGGTAACGTACCACATCTTGTTACGAAGGGCACGAAGCCGGCGCATCATTGAATCGATAAGACCCTCGGCGCGCTCCTGGCTCTGCTTCAGCCAGATAAGCCATGCATCGTATTCTTCAATGGCGGCGGCAGACTTGCGGATCGAGTCTCGTGGGCCACGGGAGAAGATGTTGAGCAATGTTGAGAACCCATCCTTGCGCAGAGACTCGGATGTAAGGGCGTTGAGCTGTTGGAGTGTCCTCCAGTAAAGGTGGGCGTTGACAAAATCCGATTGTGCTCGTGATTGGGAGGATGCGGCTGTTAGCATGGCGATAAGGAGTGACGTGGGTTCCGCGGCCTCTGGTAACTCTTTCCCCTTGCCATTTCCCCGGCTGGAAGTGTCCGACAGACTGCTGGTAACACTCGGGGCTCGTGAACGACAGCTATTGTATGGATTCCGGCTGCCCATATTATTGGCCATCCGGTTTTTGGACCTGTATTTCTTGAGTGTCGACGCTCGGTTGCTAAAGGTTTGCTTTCGCGTGCCACTGCTCTCCAAATTCTGAGGAATCTCATATTCCTGAACCAACTTCAGGATCGCGTCTCGGAGTTGGTGATAGTCGTGGTACAGTGTCGGCCGTTCGTTGTCAGTCTCGTCAGTTTCGCTATCGGTGTTAGAGGTAGTGGCCTCTTCATCGACCTCATCATCGGGATCGAAGGTCATGTGCGTTGAAAGTTGGCTGCCGTTGCCAGAGATAAACAAAACCGCCCAGCGCTCAGCGCAAGGGTGACAGGAGCCGTTCAACACGTCCTGTCCAAGGACCTGAGACATTTCATGCAAGGCGAGACGAAGACGGTACCCGTCATCCTCGTAGTTGACCGAAGAACTTGGGGCGCTTGAAGCCGGAGGAGAGTAACCGGGCCCTTCCTCGAGAAGGGGCTCACGGGATGTTGTTATATCGCTGGTTATCGAGCCGGCACTGGTGCTGACAATCGACAAGGCGTCGAACTGCGTACTAGGGGCTGTCCTCACAGACATGGGTTGAGATGCCACAGAGAAGTTGGACACAGACGGCGCCCCAGATCGGCGACCTCCAGAATGAACTGAGGCTGGTCTTCGATCTGGGAAGAGGGCGTTGGCAATGGTAGCGAAATCGGCAGGGCTAACGACCAGATACGGATGAACTTCTGCTGTTTCTCGAAGGGACGTGATGGATCGAGCGGGCAAGAGGCGGGTCTTGGGCTGATACTTTGTGTTTCTAAACCGGTTCTGTATGTTCTCAATGTGCCCTCGGATCTTTGGTGGGATCGACACCGGAGTTTTGCTATGGAGCATGTCAATAACGAGTTTTTGTGCATTCATGGCAACGGATTTGAGGATCTTCTGTCGCCCATATTCAGTGATGTGATAGTCCGCCATCATCCCGTAGGCCTCGGGGTGAATGATGACTCCGAGCAGCCAGGTTGAAAACAAGAATTTGGCCACAAGCCACTTGCGGGTCGCTTCGAGGTATTTCTTTTCCAGGCATTTGATGATTTCGTTCCCTAGCTCGATAAGTCCCTCGGGGATACCGGTGTTGTCTTCATCGTCAATGACCTCGAACAGCTCATCCACAGCTTTGGCATAAAACTCCTCCGCGGCAATCTGATCCTTGGAACTCCAATCCGAAATATTGAACCGGGTTCCATGTTGGTCTTCGGCTCGGTCGAGCAGAAAGGCTCCTTCCTCCAGGATCTTCATAAGATACCATTCCATGTTGGATTTTCCGGACCAGCCGCGCATGGAAACCCAAACATTGCAGATGGACATGACAGTCTGTTCACTGCCAGTGGCCGGGTTGGAGATCAACCGAGCGCAGACGTTCGCCCAGATCGCCGTCCTGCGCTGGTCCTCGGCGCTGTCGGGACCTGCAGAGTTAGCAAAGCAAGTGTATATCAAGGCCGACATGGGATCGTGTCTCTGGAAGGACAAAAGCCGCTCGATGGCGCTTCTTTCCTGGGCCGACTGCCGATTGGCGCCCACTGCGCTCGAGGAGCTACTGAAGGTAGAACCGACAGCACTCGAAGAGCCCGACATACCCGAAGTACCACGACCAGCTGGTCGGCTGTGATACGGAAGGACCGACTCAATTGGCTCCATGGTCTGATGGAACTTTGTCAGCGCCGCCAGTTCGGTGCTTTTCAAGGAACTGATTCTCGTTGCCAAATAGTCGGGATTCGTTCTGATTTGATTGAGAACACTCAACAAAGCCTCTCGCGACTCAGAAGACAGGTCGTTGAGGAAGCATGGAACAGTCCCTGGTGCTGGGGTAGTGCCCGCAATTGATCCCGTGGGTGTGTCAACGCTCTCGGTTGACGTGAGACCTGGCGCCTGCGCCAATTCCATATCGGGCTCGAGCATCGCATACCGACGGGTTTCGTCGCAACTCTTGCGGACGTCGATGATTGCATTGTACAAGGATGCAAACGTCTTCTTGTCGTCTCCACGGAAGCAATCCACCAGGCTGCGATGGGCCATCTCACCAGACCTCATGAGACGGGCAGAAAGTGCCGTCGAAATGAGGTTCCTTTGCAGGCGAATCCTTGTGTTTGCGCGCTTGCGCTCCTGGTACTTGGACAGGCGAACAACATGGGCCAGCTCCTCCAAGGTTGTTCCTTCACTTTCTGGACTCCAAAAGGGCTGGGTATAAAGTGAAACATCAGACAGCAACGGCCGCGGGAACTTGAGCTTGGCCGGTTTCTCATCCGACAAGGACAAAGAGGCGGTTGCAATATTGGTGTTGAGACTGTCGGATGAGTCCTTGGGAGTAGGCGCTGGCGACGGCTCTGTGCCTTGGTCGATCGTGGGCATGGGACGGATGGGAAGAGTGGTAGGCATCTGCAGACCAGGTCCGCGCCTAGACAGGTCGTCGTTACGGCGGCTCATGTTTGCGTCTTTGGCCGCGCGAGACGGGCTCTTGGTTCGATGTGCTCGTGAGTGCAAGGCGTCCACATGACTCTCCGAAGATGGCGGATTTGGCGACCTCGACGCTGCCGGAGGAGACTGTTCTGGGGATGGAGCTACTCGTGAAAAGGACGTGGGTTAGCGCAACGGGACTAGAGAGCTCAACCTTGGGGAATGATCCTCTGGTTTCCCCGACATACGCAGCGACGATTGAACGTTGGTGGGCGAAGAAAGAGAGCGCTGCATGGATATCATAATGGGGCCATGCAATATAGGGTCCAAGTGGTCGACCATGTACTACCGACGACGGCGGAGGTTGGCGTTCCAATGACAGCGACGGGGGTGCTCGGTTCGGCTCGACAAGGCGCTAAGATATTGGATGAGATATCAACAAATGGGAGCTGGACCACCTTCGGCTTGGAACGTTTCTTGTCTTGGGGTATCAAAGATGGGTATAACAGTTCATGTTTTCATGAAGACTAAGAAACGGATATGTAGGTATATTTGTCTTGGGAACGGGAACAAGGCGAGCCCTGGCCGTGCGTGGTTGATGTCGCAAACCGAGAGACGATCTAACAAGTGAGCAGGGATAGAGGTCCGCACCCAAGGAGATGGGGGTAGGCAAGGTTGATTCCGTCAGCTGTGAGGTCCAGTCGAGAATACGCAATGGATGTTTAGATGACGGACAGCGAACCCGGAGTTTCGTTGCCCTGATGGTTATGGTCTTTGGCCGATTCCTGGGGTTGAGTTGGGACTTGACGACCTGAAGTGAAGAGTCAAGAGGGCTCAACAACCTAAAGGTCCTCGCCTTGCCTTGGGGACAGGGACGGGGAGCTGCCCGTTGATGGTCTCGCCTCAAACCACCTGCAGGCACGCAAGGTGAATCAGAACCAAGCTGCAAGAGGAAAGGAATGCTGATCGGTCGCTACTAGGAAAAGTTCAGACACCACACCATGCCCTGATGGCCCTGGTCGATATGGCTCTCTGGGGCTTAGCTGGATGGATCCTCAGGGGGAGAGTACGATCCGAAAGACCCAACCTAACTGAAGCAGGCGAAGGACAAGGAACGGGACTGGAGTCCCGTCGGGCACGAGGACGGCTGGGACGGAGACGGGATGGTCGACAGCGACAGCAACAGCGCGACACTTTGCGACTGACAGGGCAGGGCGACGACAGGGTTGGTTTTGGACACAGGGCAACGGACAGCGGTTATGACAGGGCGAGAGCGTCTGGTGGATCCTCCCGGCGGTTATGTACCCAGGTCGTCGACTACCTAGGTTGGGGGTGGAAGGATTCCCTCTTTGGGTTGGGCGGGATGAGTGGAAGTAGTGTATGTAAAATAAAGCAAGTGGTGATGATGTTTGTCTTGGTTGTCTCCCTCAGATCATCATCTCTGCTCACAGCAACCTGCAAGTTGCCATCATGTGGATGAGACGGATATCGGGTTTTCATGTACTTGGACAATCCATCCCACCGAACTGGAAAGACTGAGTGAGAGCCGATGAGAGCGCAACATGAGAGAGCTAGGTGACGGACGGGAGGGAGCTGGTGTGTCTCGTCGCACCCTGGACGGCCTGGCGCCTCTGCCTTGCTGCCGTGAACTCAAGATGATCACGGTGACTTTGAGCGATGTACCGGCCGGACGTGGGGTAAGGGACGGATAGCCCAGTCCAACAGGCGGCCCACTTATTTACAAGTTGGGTTTGGCGGCTGGGAAATGCGGGACACACTTTGAAGCAGCTCCCCTCGTGCCTGCAAGTTTGGAGTCATGCCTTGTGAGGTTGGAGATTGGTGGATTTCCTTGTCATTCAGCGCACTTGCAGCGAGCGGTCCACTGAACGGCATGCTCGCATGTTTCTCTGCCACGCTACAATCCCTGTCTCTTCTTTTTTTTTTTTTTTTTTTTTTTTTTTTTTTTCCCATCTCGTGAAGCTCTTGTTGTTCAGGTTCCCTCCAGACAAGGAATCATGGTTGAATATCAGATCTCGTAAATCGATATCAGAACGGTTACTATAGCTCACCAAACGGGCTTCATTCGTCGCCCAGAGACAGACAGCTTTTCCATGCCGCCCGCAACTGCACGCACCTCTCCTTCCTCATTTCAGTCCTGCATCTTCATTTCAAATTTCACAGTTCCCCCCCCCTCCCCCACCTGCACTTGCATGTGTCAGAAAGAAAGAAAGAAAGAAAGAAAGAAAGAGCTACGGGTTGAGGCTCCTCTTGCGTCCAGTAGGTCCCCTCCTCCTCTCTCCTCCATTGCCCCGCTTCCACTCACCCACTTCTTTCCCTTTTTTCGGGCCCGACATGTGCCTGACGTGATTTGCCCTCGTATCGTTCGCGCTTGCGTTGACACTTGCGCTTGTCCCTCTGGCTTTTTCGGCCTGCTTGCTTCGGATGCTTTCCATCAAATGTGGATGTCGTGGACACAAGATACTACCCGCTCCTCCTTCCGTTGGATGGACGGACACCGTTGCCGCCAGTCATGCTGAGTGAGCTGAATGGACGAGATGGAGTCCCATGACAAACACTGAACGCGCGACTTTGATAGCGACAGACGTCCAGCTTCCAATCGCCGTCTTCAGCTTGATCATCCCCTCTTGCCTCTCCAAGCGCCGCAGAAACATAATCTTCCATGACGCATATCCACGGATCACGCATCACCGGTCGAGATAATATGCGGGAGAATCCTGCTATGGACATCTATCTGCTCTTTTCCTGCTGTGCCTGACGACTGCGGGATGAGTGCCCAACCTCATGAGTATCAGCTTGTCATGGCATCGAAGGCATGGATGGCATGGCTTCATCCGAGTCCACCGCTTCTCTTGTGCTCTCTTCCTTCTTGTCGTTTCTTGCCTCCAACTCGTCAGCTTTTTCGTGCTTTTCCACCGCCCCCTCACCAGACTCGGGCTCATCCCTCCGAAATGCAGCCATCAGTTTCCGTGGGGAGCAAAATGTCCTGTCCGAGCTTAGTACCAAAAAGTCATGATTCATGATATGGTTACGAGGTGACGGAACACCGGCCACACTGCCAGCTCATACTACACTACTCCTCCAAACTATCGATATGCGCAGTTGCAGTCTGATGCTCGGCGTTGATCCCCTCAGTCACGTACTTATCAAAGAGTCAAGCAAGGATGGAGGAGATATGTATCCAGATCCCCGACATCCCAATTCCAGATGGTGACGGCTGTGTTGAATGACAGACACCCTTCCCACTTACATACCTATGTACAGACATGTCTCCTGGCTATATACTTGGTGTACAAGGCTTGCCTTATACCTTCCCTCTCCGGCCTCTCTGTTATCATGTTTGTCTCGTCCTATTGTTTCGCTCCAAACCCCCCTTTTCGGAAGGCATGAGGTGCCCTTGGATAATCCTATAGGCCGCACGCTGAGCATGTACACAGCCTGCTGAGCTGGCCTTGCATTTTCGCCCCCCCGCCCTTTTGCATCTCCCACGGCTTCCCATTGCCTGGGCCCGGCTCTTGGCAACCTGGCCGTCAAATCGTCCAATGCCAGTCGTCCACGATCCAAGACCACCCCAGGAGCCTGCCTGCTTTTGGCCTCTTTCGGAAGCAGGTACCTGAAGCAAGTACTCCCCACCCAAAAGACCCCCTAGAGATACTTTGGGCTACATACCGACCTGGGAACAAGCGTCGTGAACATGCCCGGTCTGGTTGCCAACTCACACCACCCACACCCACACACCTAAAGTTCACCACCACGGTCACCACCCTCTCAGACGGCCTCACAGTCCAATTACATGTTCTCGTTATGCCCGCTTGATCCTGCCACGGCTTGTCTCTGCCGCCGGTATATCAGAATCCTCCGATGGTTATATCTTTCTTTTCTGGAATGACACCTTCCGTCCCTCCAAGCCAAGCTGGGACGATCGGCCAATGCCGCCAGCGGTAGCATTGTTGAGCGCCATCCCAGGGTAGATTCTTTCCTTTCATAATGCCGGCCATTGAAACAGGCAACACGAGGCGAGGCAAGGCCGCATACTGCGCACCATCGCGGCGGTGATCCGGCCGGCAGATGGACGACAAGTCAACAAAAGGGTCCAACAACACGGCCGGCGCTTGTGGCTCCACTCCCCAACATCGATCCGTCTGGGTCGGACAAGCTCCCGTCTGTGTGTCCGGGTCTCTTTTTCCATCCCAGAGACATATCAGAGGGTCCTGCTGTGCGAGGATTCTTGCTTCGCCGCACCTTTTTGGGTGGTGCGGTTGGTTGTGCAACCCCTGTGCTGTCTTTCTGTGACGGCCCAGATCCCGCACTCATCCACACCTGGCAGTTCATGATGGTGGCTTCCATAGCTCCTCCGTTGCGGAGGTCTTGGGGCTGTCTCCAATTCCCCAGCCACGCCGCGCCGATACCACGCCGGCCGATTCTGGTCCCGGGCCACGCACCACGTACCTTAGTCAGGCACGCACCTTTACCGCCAGTTTCGTGACGACGTTCCATCCCGAGCCCATAAGCATGTGGCGCATAGGGGTTTAGTCCCTACCTTAGTCCAGCACTTCTGCACGTCAGACTCCTCATCTCGTCCCACGTTGTGGGCAGCATGGAAATGTTGCCCGGTCCCAGCTTCGACGGCGCAATGAAAACGGTTTCATTGGTGATAGCTGTGTTATATATGCCTCCCAGCCGCCTTTCAAGCCTTTTGATACGACTTCATCCCCCTTTCCTCGTCCAGGGTTCCTCCTACGTGGCTCACTCACCACCGTTCATTATCCCCAGACCGCTGCTTCGAGGTTACCAACAGGGTTATAACCCGCATACGCATACGCATACATCTCGTGCACTTGCTTTGCTTGTCGGGAGGGATGAAGCTGCCTTTGGGTAGCGAAGCGCTCAGCCGGTTTGAAACCGCACAAGAGCCGAGAAACTGGGAGGCAGGTACCATGCTAGCTTGGTTGTGCCTGAACGTGGGCAGAGTTGCCTTGCCACGCCCGTCGTTTCATGCTGCCGGAGGTAAAGTGGGTGCTCGGCCCCCTCCAAAGACGAAGCAATCAAGGCAGCGGCGGGATTCAGTTCGATCTATCAGAGATGTTTGCCCTGCTGGATAATGACAGGTACCCGTCTGTTTCCTGATAAGTCATTTACTAACGGCAACAGGTTTAGGGCTTGGTCATACAAACACAAACCCACATACGACCTACATTAAGTACGTGAAGCATGTCTCAAGACGGAAGGACGACAACAAATATGTCTCAGGCGCGAATATGCCAGCGAAGAACGATCTACGTCTCAGTGTGCACATTGTGCTCCCGGGCTACCTCGTCAACTCGTCTACACCCTTCCCAGTTTGCGGCTTCATGGGCATCGTGGAAAACGACTAGTTAGTCCGTGAATCCAGTTTGGGCTAGAGATGGTCGTTCAAGCGCGCACACGCCCGCGTGCTGTGCCACGTTGTCACGGATATGTCCGATGACTTCTTCTTCACAAGTCAGAGGGAGAATTGGGAAAAGAGCGATGCCGTGCCTCGGTGACAGTCCTACCAGCCACAAAAGCTTACATGCACCCACATTCATGGAGCTTCACCTTCCACCACACTTTGCCAGCTAGCAACTCTGCCAGCTAGGCTAGCTAGCCAGTGCTCTCCGCTCGCCTTACCTGAGCAATTGGCCAACGAGATGATTGCGCAAATCCTGGGAAACACAGGGCGAATCCTACACACTCCTCCCGAGACAATCCCGGCGGGTCTGCTCATCCCGTTTGGTCGTGTTAGCTAATTTTCCCAGCCCAGATTTGATCGTTGACGTTTTTCGATAGCCTCATTCTCCAGATCCTCATCTTCCAAGGTCAACGTGGACTAGTGCCTTATCTGCGCCAGCTGAAAAGAGTTGTTACTCTCACGAACGCGCAGCTCACACCGCTTCAAGTAAGGAAAGAAGGTAAAGAAGGGCTCCAATAATGGTTTGACCGTTAGTTCAAGACCTTATCTCAACTTTCCTATCTGTATCCATCTCTACTTGTTTCGTAGGGTTGTTTAACCTGAGCGTGATGTTACTTTGAAGTGAAGAGCAAGGGGGGATTCTTCAAAATCAGCCAAGTAGCAAGCCAGAAAATCGCGTGGACCAACCCTTACAGTATCACTCCATGTCTGCTTTCTTGCTGTGTGTCGTTGTGTAAGGTAGGTGTGTGTAAGCTGCGTTCTGTGCTACGTACACCTCATCGGGAACACAGCATCCATTGTTCTAGCTTTGGAAGTTGGTTCGGGTAAGTTTAGACCCGGCCAGAAGGTTTGACGGAGTTGGGGCTGTGAGAGCGAGCAACAGGTTGGGCAGGTTGGGGAAGTTGGGGAGGGGCAAGGAGAGACAGAATAAACAAAGTGTGTGTGGTAAAGAAGGAAGGGGCCACCACCGTGGGTTGAGTTTGCCGAGATTCATCGTTTATGGAGGTCTCTGATGAGAAGTTTATGTCTCATCAAGTCTTACAAGCCAAAATGTCCGTCCGAATTCTTTCGAGGTTGGAAATGTTTATGGTGGTTTTGGCGGTGGTGGTGCGGATCTGTGGGCTTAGTTTACCTCTGTTTGTCTATGTCAAACGCTGGAAAAAAGAATTAGGCAACAAGAAAAGAAAGGTAAAAAAAGAGAAAAAGATAGACAGAAAAAAAAAAAAAATAAAAAAAAAATTCATAACATTTTCGCAACGTCAAGCTTGGGAACCGAACCGTAAATCAAGAGAACCAAGCACACGTGTACGTAAGTAAGTGGAAAACAACAGCGACACAGGCATGAGGATTCGGGAAAGAAGACTTTAAGTAATCTAGTATGCAACCGGGAAGGAGGAAACAGACAGGCCCCCAAAAGAACCAGTGGAAGCAGCATACAAACTTTATATTTGTCTCTCAAAGGGAACTATGAAGTCTAATGTATTATAAAATGGGAAGATAGCTATCTCATTTCATGGGAGGTATTCCCAGTATGGAGATATCCATTGCCTTGATGGAGGAACTTGTCTAAGAGACTGACGGGATGTGAGCAAGCTACCTGCTTACCTAGGTATGAGATAGGAACTAGAACTATGGCAATTGACGAACCAAGATCAATAACCCTACCTCTATTTAAACATATATATATAGTGATAAGAGCGAAAAGGCTTTTGAAAATAATGAAAACGTACAAAACCAAACTTGTACGAAAGATGGGTTTATGAACAAACTCTCTAGACCATCACGAACATGAAAAAAAATATCGATTAATGGAAGAGAGGAATGTTTACCACACATCACAACAGAAAAGGAGGAAAGTAGTCCTGGTCAGATATATGATGTGGCGTGACATGGTATGATACAATATGACATGGTAAAAACAGTCAGTGCACGAAAGAACAGGGCGTAGAAAAGGAAAAAAAAGAATAGATGGAATGAGGACTCTCAAAGAAAAAAAGAAAGTTCAGTAGGGCATACCAAGATGGACTGTACATCTCCATCTATCTACATGTAGAGGTGCCTAGGTAGGTAGTCATACATCAATCGCCGCCGTCAACATACGGACCCCTCCGGCCCCCTTCCGATCTCTCGTTATCCCCTACCGGCCCCGACTCCGGCTCCGGCTCAGTCCGCCCCCGGGACATGAACTCTAGATCTGGTCTGTCACAGGTCAGCCATTACATCATCATCAGCTTCCATTTCAACGGTCGTCTGAATGAACCTTATGTAGGTTTCTTTTTACAAAGAATCGAGGTTTCCTTTTTTGACTTCCGGTTCAGATGAACGTACCCTTAAAGAAAAAACATGCATTTCATCTCATCTTCGTTACGTTCCTTCTTATTCTTCTCTTTGTGTTTACGGACTTGATAAGACACTCTCCCCTCCTTGTTCTCTCCTTTTTGTTCTCTTTCCTATTTGGTTATCTCATACAAGCAGCAATAGATAGTAGACAGACAAACGGACAGAAAGTACCTGTGATTTTCTTACCCGTTCGTTTCCCAGTTCTTCATCACAAACCTTCGTCCCTTGTTTTTTTTTTTTTTTTTTTTTGGTAGGGGGCGGGCCGGTGGCTGTAGTAGAAACTTAGGTAGCAGAAATACTCACGAAAAAGGGAGGTATAACAAAGTAAAACCGAGATAGAGAGAGGTAGAAGCTACATGTATATGTACGGACAGGCGTGGGATGATGAGATGGAATTGAAAGATATTGAAGGACAACTGGTGCCGGTCTGGCTCCATCTTCGGGACTCCCGAAAGGATCAGTATCAGTACCAGCGTCAGCACCAGAAGCATGATCACCTAAGAAAAGGAGGGTAACCCATAAAGAGCTTTCCTCGGTGGAAATCGCGATACACTGGCATTGGTCTCATCGAAACTGACAAAAGACGACACGCAATGTCATCAATTACAAAGGTGAAGCATAATAAATGCTAGCAAGTTACGTATACACCAAGATAACGACAGCAAACAACCCGCCCAATGTGCGCTCGATAATAACTTTGAGTACAGAATATGTGATATGCAACAACAAAGCCTCAAAATACCCATCCATTCCCTTTTTGTTTCCGTTTCCCCCCCCTCCTTTTGCGAATCCCTCGTCATATGCTTTTCATATTTCCCTCTCGTGCTTTTGTATCATGGGCCACCATCAAACGAACCACGACGTCCGCGTCTGCCTCGCTTGCTTTGGTGAACCTCTCGGTTCTGTCAAGCGAGAACTGTATCCCCTTCCCCCTTCGCTCACTGCCATCGTCAATATCCCCTCAACCCCTCATCTCCCGTCTCGATCCATCCGCTTGCGCGTCTATATGCATGAAGCAGTATTCATTACCATCTCCATCCCACAGCACAACTGTCAAAGATGCAAGTGACAAAACGACAATGCATATGATAGGCCAACATATGCCTGCTTTCTCTACCAAACCCAACCAACTCGGCCACCAGTCTATCGGCCGGCAGCAAGCGAATGATCAAGACGTTGGGCAAAGGCTGCAGATACCAAGCCAAAAGGCATGAGGGGATAAAGATGGATGGAAACTGCGGGAGCTGCGGGAACGGTCGCAAGATGTGACCTAGATGAGTGACGTTGATCCACAGGATTGGCTGGTGTGGCCGTGGCGGGTGTGATGATTGGATTAGGCCGCAGATTTGGCCGCATGAGGAAATGGAGGCCTGAACCTCCCCTCCGCTTCTTCGCACCACTTGTCGTCGAGACAAGGTGGGTAGCGGGACATGAATGTTGGGTTATTGACATGTCAAGCCGGCATGCACCGGGCCAACGAACGCCAGAAATACCGACAGATCCCCGTAATATCCGGACTGTTCGACATAGAGTATCACACCTATGCGAAAACTCTACAGGCTATTCGCGGCCCAGTTCACTCACCCCTCCCGAACCTGACATCGAACCCCTTAAGTACCGCCATGATACTTGCGGCCTCTACTTCGATCGGCGCCCACGCTTTGCCCGTCGACGATTGCTGCAGGCTTACACTGCCTCGATGAGGCGGTGGGTTAGCAGGCACCGCTCTCAGCTTGGGCAGCCACGAGCCAATGTCATCAGCTGCTTCCTCAAAGTGCCGGTGAGAGGCAATAGTCTTGTAGGCCTCGGCGCAGGAGAGGGAGAGTGCGAAGTTACTGGCAGCGACATTGTTGGAGGAAGAAGATGAGGAAGAGAATGGGTTGGGTGGTGTGGGAGCAGGTAGTTGATTGGCGGTCTTGTAGCGGTTGAGGTTGATGGGGACGACATCATCGTTGTCGTCGGGCTTCTCAGTCTTGCAGCATCCGCCGCCGGGACCGCGGCCGCCGCAGCACCCGGACGGGGGAGCAGCGCTACTGCTGCTGTCAGTCTGTTGCCTATTGCGCTCAAAGTTGGCGGCAAGGGAGCGGCAGAAGAGGCCGGACTTGGGATCAGCTAGACACTGAGCGCAAGTACCGGGGCCACCGGGACCACAGCCACCGGTCTTGACGGGGAGCTTGGATTGCGCATCTTTGTTGGTGTTGTTGGCGCGGTTAAGAGAACCGAAGCTAGGTAGCTTGACAGCACCCGTAGCCGTGACTTCCATAGGCATGGGGACGACATCGTTCTCGGATGGCGGCGGTGTGTGCATCTGAACTTGCTGAACCACCGAGGCAACGGTCATGGAGGCGGCCGAAAGGGCCATGGATTCGGCGCACACGCAGTAAGTCCCGTCCTTGCAGAACCCGCACGACTCGTGCATCTCGACAGAGGTTATAGGCTGGGACTGCTGCTGGGCAGGGGCTGGAAGGGGGGTCATGGTTGTCTCAGGCTTCTTGGACGAGAACAAGGCAGTAAAGTCAGTCTCCAACTGCATGTCCTCGACGCCAGCATCAGAGCGCTGCCTCTTCTCGTCCGGACCCAACGAGGGCGAGCTGGGAGGTAGTGGCCTCTTGAGGTCGGCGGCCGCCAAGACGCGGATGGATTCCTCCAGACAAGCACACCTTCCTTCGGGAGTGCATCCGCCGCAGCCCATCAAGACGTTGGAACTTTGCATGAGCTCTTCAGCGCAGGCACATGAGCCGCTGCTCTGGCAGTTACCGCAGGTGACGTCTAGCGGGGACTGGGGAGCTTCCTCGGGTGGCGAGATGATCTGAGAGATGGAGAAGGGCTGAGCAGTTGGTCGTGGCTCTGCAATGGGGACGGGGTCCACCTTGGGCGCCAGCTGTGGCTGTTGCGTAGGCTGTTGTTGCTGTTGCTGTAAAGTATAGCCGTTGGACGGTTGTGATAGAATGGACTGCGGCGACATGTTGTTGTTGTCCCAAGAATTCTTCAGCGTATTGCGAGCTTGCTTCTCCTTCTCCAGCATGTCCTCCAACCAGCGGCATCGCGATTGCAGGGTCTGGACTTGGACCTCGAAATGGCTAATGCGACCCTGGAGCTCGCTCACAACGCGCTCATGCTCCTCCTTTTGCTCTTCCAGCTGGTCCTCCAACTCGCCGACGCGGGCGGCCCTGCGCTCGCGGAAAGCTCTCTGAGCAGCGCGATTCTGTGCCTTGCGCTTAGTAGGGGGCGTGTCGGTGGCAGGCTTACGTCCAGGCTTTGGTCGGGGAGGGATGACCCATTCCTTAGTGGTCATGCTCAAAGGACCTCCTCCCCCAGGAGTAGGGCAGTCGACGGGCGACATGGCACCTTGGCTAGATACGGAGGCGGCTCTAATAGGGGCAGGTTTGGGTGCGACGCTGGGACGAGGCGCAATGGGAGGCACGCCAGTGAGGTTGGTGGTGGTTGCAGTGATGGAAGTCGATGATGCCGGAGTGGAGACGCCACAGCTTGAGGTTGGAGAGGGGGCCGAAGTGGCGGGGGTCGAGACGGCACTCGGGGAATCCCGCTTGGCAAAGGTGGCTGCTGTGGTTGATGATGATGATGATGATGATGTTGGTGCCTGCTGTAGGGCTGACAGGTCCATATCAGATTGGAGATTTTGGCGTTGCCGATGTTGCACTTGTTGTTGTTCAATGGACATGGACACCGAGGTCATCTGACCGGCCATGTGAGCGGCAGAGGCGACGGCCGTCATGGCCCACAGTGTTGTCTGTCGTTGCTGGTTGAAAGGAGACCAGGCGGTGTTGCACAAAGAACCGACTGAACTGACCACCCGACTGCAGTCAATTTAATGAGGGGATCGATGGCAGGACTGGCGGAGGATCTGATAAGATGGCGTGGGTGTGATGGACCGTGGGAGGTTCCGGTATTCGGGCGGCCCGGGGGCAGGCGATGGGTTTTTATTTTAATGTCGCAGGCAGAGAGTGGACACTGCCCTAGAGCGGGAGAACAGTGGGCGGAACAGTGGATTTCCAGGTCGCTGGGCCGTTGGCGCTGTCTCGTTCCTTTTCTGGGGCATTGCCCGAGCCGAAGCCGAGAAAAAACGTGGGGCGATTGTCCACTTCGTGTCCGACTGCCGTGCCGAATTCTTGTGAATCCCGTCGATCAACAACAATTGTGATGACAATTGGTTGAAGATTGCTGTAAGATAAAATCAGGTATAGAAAAGTAAGAAGCTGACGGCTGTGGGTGTAGCGTGTTTGTGTCAAATTGACTTGGATCAATGTCAGATTCGCATGTGTCTTTGACTTTTCTTGATGGGCAAAGGGGAACCATGGAAGGTAAATCAAGAACAAGATTCTCCTCCGACAATGAGGGGTTGTCGATTCCCTTTTGGCAAGAACGACTGAAGACCATGGTACACTGTAAGGAAAATTTGCACCTGGGAATGATCCGACACGGAAGGAGCGATTTGTGCTTGGGATACTCCAGTCTGGCATATGCCCGTGGCTGGGGTTTCTCGGGTCCAAGCGAATTTCGGTCAACCTCGCCCACAAAATGAGGGCTCTCGCTTGTTTGATTCGATGATCTGTGATGCTGATGCCCCGCGTTGCCTGGCTGACGAAAGGAACAAAAGGCCGAACAGTCTGACAGAATGCTCCACTGATTGATTGATAAGATTACAATAAGTGCGCTAGTACAATCGCAGAATAGCCGTAGTTGCTAGTGCGTCACGAAAGAGTGGGGCACGTCGTGGTCAAGCGGGGACCTATGACTGGAGCTTCCACTTGGATGGATGTGCCTGTCCGGTTCGGCACTGCAGTCTCTGAACCTGTCAACGCGCGGATCAAAAGAAGGGAACTGAACTGAACTGAACTGTGGAAGCGAAATGCTCAACGTGCCATTTTAACTGTATGACGCCGTGGTTACGAGGCTGAATCGTCCGATCATCTTGCTCTATCCCCTACTACCGAGCCAATACGTCGGAAATACGACAGGCAGCCACTCATCAGCGTTGCAAGCGATGTCGGCTGACGAAGGCGGTCTCCATCGATGCTGTGGGCAAGGGAAGGGGATCAACCGCGGTGTGACTGGAGGCCATGGGTGATTCAATTGCGTTATTCATGACTAAACTTTTGCTCGGATTGGCACGAAGCTGTAGGTCATTATGTTGAATCACGACTGTGATCTCTTCCGAGGTCCTTCCAGATTTCCCATGGCGAGGATGCCGTTTGTGATTTAGCGAGATGTAGCTTTGAACGTCTCCGGAATAAACCATTCGGTGATTCGAGCTGAAGCATGGTGGTTTGAACAAAAGAGGATATTCAACCTGTTGCTTGTTTATAGGACGCTGAATATGGAAATCAATAAATTCACACAGCTCCTTTCGAGAAAGTCTTGCAAGACAGTGCTTGAATATGGAAACAAGAGTGTTGTTGTTAAAGGCCCCGCACGGGCCTTTCCACCCTCCTGCATGAGTCGAGGGACCCACGGCAGTGCCAAGAGAAATTATCAGATCGGCCACATCTCCCACTGACAGCTGAGAGAGCTCCGAGTGAACCCCGCGGGAACAATCAAGAAACACACAATCACACTCAACCGCGCAACCAACAGGGTCCCCAGCACTCAACAACAGCCACCGGCCCGATCAGAGATTTCTGTTTACGCAACCAAGAACCAAAATATCCGCTCACGAAGTGGAATCTGCCCTGGCCTGGATTTTGAGGGTCATCAGATCACTCAATCATCAATCAACCCCACACCATCCTGCACTGCACTCCATTCCCGTCACCGAGGTGCAGTCCCGTCACGCCGAGTCCATCCATCCCGGTCCGCACTTCAAGGGAGCTCATAAACGGCCGAGCTGAATCCGAACCCGCACCCGCATCTAAACCGGAGTCGGAGCCCGAGTCGGACCTGAAGAGTCCCACATTTCCGGATATCAGCCCCTGAACCGGACACCGGCTTTCAAGAAACCACATTCTGCTACACTTCCGAATTCAGTCCGTTAAACACCGGCAACCAACCTCATTCGGCGGCAACAACAGCCACAAAAATGACAACCCTCAACACCCCCAACTTTGCCGCCCCCTCCTCCCATGGTCGCCCCTCCTCACCCCCTCAATCCCAAACCTCCTCACCCATCTCCCCAAAGTCCACAAACCACGCCTTCCCCTCCATCTCCACCAACCTATCCAACCTATCCAACAACCCCCCTCCTCCCCGCCTCACCACCTCTTCCCAACAGTCCCCTTCTTCTGGAGAAGTCGACAACATCTCCGACGACGACGACGACGACGACGACGACGACGACGACGACGTATCCAACCTCCCCTTCCCCACCGCCCTCCCCCGCCCCTCCTTCCTAACCCCTCACTTCTCCCCCCTCGCCTACCTCGACTCTCTCTACGCTTCGTCCTCTTCTCCCGATCCAACCAACGCCACTGTCGTCACAGCCACACCCTTCAGCCAAAGACACCAAACCCTCCCTGACCTGCGTTCGGAACTGCATACTCGCAGCCTGGCAATCAGTTCCGAACTGCTGGAACTCGTCAACGCGAACTATACCTCCTTTTTGAGTCTAGGGGATGAACTGAAAGGGGGAGAGGAGCGGGTGGAGGATGTGCGGGTTGCTGTTTTGGGATTTCGAAGGGCAGTGGAGGAGGTTCGGACCAAAGTTAGAGAAAAGAGGGGGGAGATTGGAGAGCTGGTCAAGGAGTTGGGATACGTGCGGGGCGGGGTTGAGTGGGGGAGGGGGGTGTTGGAATTGGGGGAACGGGTGGAGGGGTTGGAAGTCAAATTGAATATGGGGAGTTTGGGGAGTACGGGGGGAAGTGGCGGGGCGGGAGGGACAGGAGCGGGAGCGGGAGTGGAAGCGTGGGTGAAAAAGGGGACGATTAATGCAGAAGAAGATCGGGTGGGGGAAGAGGATGAATATGAAGGGTGGGATGATGGATCGGAGGATTTCAAGGAGGAAGTGGTTGATGATGATGATGATGGGGAAGGTGACGAGGAGAGAGAAGGGTTTGTGGCGAGTAGTCCGGCGGAGTTGGAGGCGCTGGCGAAAGAATATGTCAAGATTGAGCAGATGGCGGATAGATTGGGTGGGCACGAGGTGCCGTTTGTGAGGAAGATGGAGGAAAGGATGATTAGGTGCCGGAATACGATCCTGCTGGATTTAAGGACCGCGTTGAAGGAGGCGAGGAGGGCAGGCGAAAGGGGCAAGAAGAGGGTGTTTAGGTATTTGGGTGTTTATAGACTGTTGGACGCGGAACAGGAGGCGGTTAGGGTGTTGAAGGAGAAATAGGTCCGATGTTAGAAGCAGATAATGGATGGTTCATGTAATAGAAGGCCGCTGCTAAGGAGCTAAGAGTACAGGTTCTGAAGAACAATTAATACACATATTACACATATACACAGAGAACAAGCACAAGGGCATACCCATGTTACCAACCGCTCCATTTTGCCATTATAATACATGCCTATGATACAAGGAAATCTAGCCCAACACCCCCGTCATATACTACAACAGCACTCTTACATGACCGACTCCAGATCCTCGGGCTTGATCTTGTCGTCGGTAGGCGCAAACTCGGCGTTCAGACTCATGCCAGGACCGTGGGTAGTGCTCAGAACCACCTCCTCCACCATCTTGGGCGTGGTATCATCCAGCTTGCTAATGTCGGACTTGATCTTGGCCATGAACACACGAATGTTCTCGGCCAGCTGCTTGGGGGTGAAACCAAGCTGGCCAACCGCCATGCGCACGACACCGTTCCTCTCCCTGTACTCGTCCATGCCAATCATGTCCCGGAAGGTGGCCTCGAGGTTGTTGGTGATGGTCTTGGTCTTGCCGCTGGGCATCAGACCCTTGGGACCGAGCAGTTTTCCGACGTTGGCCTTGCGCAGCGCGCCCTCGCTCTCGGTGTGGCAGAGAAGCTTGTTGAAGGAAAAGTTGCCCGACCGGATCGCCTCGAACAGGGTCTCCTCGCCGGCCATGACGGCGCCGAGGTTCTTGGCCTCCTCCTGCAGCGCGCTGCCCTCGGGGCAGATGACGGCGATACGGGTGTCGGTCTTGACGGGAGTCGGTAGGCGGACGCGGTCGCGCACGACGGGGCCGTTCTTTTTTGTCCTGAGCTTGACGTGCACCTCGTACTTGACGGACAAGGGGGGTTGGCCAACCTCGACGGCGCGGAGGTAGCTGGTTGGTTACAGTTAGTGTTGTGTTATGTTTTAGAGAACAGCTGAGGATTCGCAACATACCGCATAGCATCGCAGAGAGAAAACTGCTGCTGGCCGGTCAAGTCCCATGACTTGAAGAACTTGTACTGCTTCTTCTTCTTGGGCGCCTTCTTGGCTCCGCCCTTGTTGGGGTTGTTGGTCGCATATCGAACCTGCGATGCGGCGACCGACGGGACGAGGAACTTGGGTATTGTCGGAAGAGCAGCTCTGGTGGGCGTCGACAGGCTAAGCCTTGCCAGCGAGGCAAGACATTGTTGTGTTGAAGCCATTGTGTGTGAGAGAGGAGCTGTGGTCGGGTGTCGCACTCTCCGGTAGAAGGGGAACTCGAGGGGCGGCGGGCGGCGACGGCGGCAGCGGGACGGGGGGAATCGCGAATCGAATCCTCGAGTCGGGGACGGCAGCGGGCAGTCAGTCCAATCTCGGAGGGGTCCCGGCGCGGGCAATTGGCACGCTTCCTGCCCAGAAAAAAAGTTGGGCCCGGGGCAGGCTGCGCGGCAGGCAGCGCATTGATACCTCGCTCGCTGTTAGGACTTGCAGTGCTGAGCCACAGTTTCTGAGAGGAACGCCTCAGTCCGTCTTGACAAGTTGGGTTCCATTCCACTTAACACCCGACTGCAGTGACAAAGCGCCACACCCATCCTCACGTACCTACCCCGGACGCTACCGCAAGCGCTAAACTTCAGCGGCACACCTGAAGACCCCGCCGCTTACTCCACCCACCCGTCCCGCTGTGCCCCTCCAAAAACTTCCTTGACTCAATTGTCCCGGTGTTTCGTTGTTTTCTTGTACAGTTTTCACCCCAATTCCACATATACCCCCATCCATCACCATGAAGCTGGACGAGCTCAAGCCTCTCGAGGCCCTCCTCACCGCGGACTTCCGCCAAATCGAGCCCCGCCTGCAGGCTCTCGACAAGCACCTGATCCTGCGCACCTACCTCGACGGCTACACCCTCGGCGACATCGACACCAAGATCTGGCTCGCCCTCCGTGGCAACCGCGCCGCCGTCTCCTTCATCAAGCGCGGCTCGCTCGCCAACCTCGCCAGATGGTTCAACTACATTGAGGAGAACCACCCCGAGATCCAGGCCGAGATCAAGGCCAAGGATGCTGCCGCCAAGGCCAAGGTCGCCGCCGCCTCCAAGGCCGGTGCCAGCTATGCGCTCGCCCTCCAGAACGCCGACCAGGGCGTCGTCACCCGTTTCCTTCCCGAGCCCTCAGGCTACCTTCACATCGGACACGCCAAGGCTGCCCTCCTCAGCGACTACTTTGCCCACCAGGCCTACAAGGGCCAGTTGCGCCTCCGTCTCGACGACACCAACCCTTCCAAGGAGAAGCAGGAGTACCAGGATGCCATCATCGAGGATCTCGCCCTCATGGGCATCAAGCCCGACACGGTCACCTACACGTCCGACTACTTCGACTACCTCTACGACATGTGCGTGCGCATGATCAAGGAGGGCCACGCCTACGCCGATGATACCGACCAGGACACCATGCGCGACCAGCGCTGGAAGGGTATTGCCTCTGCCCGCCGCGACCGCTCCGTCGAGGAGAACTTGCGCATCTTCACCGAGGAGATGAAGAACGGTACCGAGGAGGGTCTGAAGAACTGCATTCGCGCCAAGCTGTCCGTCGACAACCCGAACAAGGCTCTCCGCGACCCCGTCATCTACCGCTGCAACATCGAGACCCCTCACCACCGTACCGGCACCAAGTGGAAGATGTACCCCATGTACGATTTCGCCTGCCCCGTCGTTGACAGCCACGAGGGCGTCACCCACGCTCTCCGCTCCACCGAGTACACCGACCGCAACCCCCAGTACCAGTGGTTCATTGATACCCTCAAGCTCCGCCAGGTCTACATGTGGGATTTCGCCCGCATGAACTTCATCCGCACCTTCCTCTCCAAGCGCAAGCTCGCCAAGCTCGTTGATACCGGCAAGGTCTGGGGCTGGGACGACCCTCGCATGCCCACCATCCGTGGTGTGCGCAGGCGCGGTATGACCATCCCCGCTCTTCGCGACTTTATCCTCAAGCAGGGCCCCTCCCGCAACGTCGTCACCATGGATTGGACCAACTTCTGGGCTAGCAACAAGAAGGAGATCGACCCCATTGCTCCCCGCCACACCGCTATCACCAAGAAGGACGCCGTCAAGGTGGTCGTCAAGGGCGCCGATGCCCCCGCCGAGCCCGTCAAGCAGGAGAAGCCCAAGCACCCCAAGAACAAGGAGGTCGGCACCAAGCAGGTCACTTTCGCCAACGAGCTCATTATGGACCAGGCCGACGCCAAGTCGTTCAAGGACGGCGAGGAGATTACCATTATGGGTTGGGGTAACGGCTTTGTCCGCAACATTGACACCTCTGCCGAGGTCATCCCCACCTTTGAGATCGATCTCAACCTTGCCGGCGACGTCAAGTCTACCGAGAAGAAGGTCACCTGGCTCGCGTCCAAGGGCCAGACGCTGGTCCCTGCCGAGCTCTGGGACTTTGACTACCTCATCACCAAGGACGTTCTCCAGGAGGAGGACAACATGGAGGACTTCCTCAACCCCGTCACCGAGACCATGGAGGAGGCCTGGTGCGACGAGGCGGCGGCCTCCCTCAAGAAGGACGACATCATTCAGCTCGAGAGACGCGGGTACTACCGGGTTGACAAGGGTCTCAATGACTGGAAGGAGGGCGAGGAGAAGAAGCTTGTGCTGTTCTGCATTCCTACTGGCAAGACTGGTTCCAAGTAAGTGTGTTGCCACTGAAGCATCATGTAAGCGGGGAAAAGTTTGTTGATAGAAGGCTTGTTGATGAATGAATGTAATGAAAACATTTGTATGGTCATGTTGTACGACACAATTGTGACCTTTTGAGCACCTGTTTTACAAATGTCTTGAAATGAAAGGGTTAGGGTTGAGTACTTGCAAACCCATTGGCCACACCCAAGTTGTCTCAACTCGGCGTAATTGCTCACTTACCCGGCACTTTCGCAAAACTGAAGCTTGCGGGCATCTTGACGACAGGGTAGCTACTTGACGATACAAAACACATTATCAAAAGAAGAATTTCACAAACCGTGCCTCTTTTGCGGGACGGGAGCTTCCGCCTGTGCCCGTTTGCGGCGCTGCACTTGCACTTGTGACTTGCGACTTGTGTCACCGCCCATGATGCAGACGCCAAACCCGACAAGCCACCATCGAAAAGACAGGTAAGTAGATTCCAAAACTCAACCCAATTTTCCTATCCTGAAACCCCGCCGGGTCTTGTCATCGAACAATCCAGAATCAAACCAAAGATTGCCGATAGTCGATCACATTAAATGGATAAACGGTGATGTGAAGCACTGGGCAGCGCAAGCGAAGCAAGCCAAGCGAACATGTCACAGACACGTAAAAATGCTACGCAAATGTAACAAAATGCAACGGTTCAACAACCAGGTTTTGTGTAACGGGATGGAAGACGAGAGAAATCAGCCCGCCCAGACGGACAAGAAGGGACGGGATAATGCCGAGAAGCAACAAGTCTCCAAAAGGAAGTTGGATTGGAGGAGCACAGCTTGGCGAATTGGTAGGTTCGTACAAATTAAACCGAACGGTAGACACCAGCTCGCTGTAGCTAACTTATCTACCTTACCTAGGAGAGGCCGTTATAAAACTGTGATAGGAGGTTACAATAACCGTGAATTATCATATCGACCAAAGGGGGGTTTACCTCATCGTCAATTCTCTGGAATCAAGGGGCAATTAAAAGCGGAAAGGTACCGCAGGACACTCCTGCCTGCAGTGCCGCTCTTTGGGCCCTGACAGCGATCGACGCCAGGCTTGGCTCGGATCAGTTCGGGGGACGTGCGCCCACCTGAAAGCGACCGAATGCTTGTCCAACAGGCCTGCAAATGAGTGCCGAGAACATTCTGAAAATACCCAAGGGAAAAAAAGATCTTGACGTCATTCGCTGTTCGGTTCGTTCACCTCTTGGCTTTTGCTTTTTTTGTCGCTTTGTATGCCAAGTCGAGAAAAGCGCAATCAATGTCTCACACGACCTGATTTCAAGACTTGTGCTCATTTCCCTTCCCCCCCCCCCAAGGTCCAGGTCCCCCAGCCATCTCCATTCTGTCACCCAAAGTCCCAACAACTGGTTGTTGTGTCAATCTAATTTCTCTCTCTCCCTCTCTCTCCTCTCCATTTCTCTCTTTCCATCTTTTTCCCGTACCT